CTCCCCGCGGCCTCGCGCTTTATCAGCTCCTACGGTTATGCTGCACGGGCCTGGCAAAAGAAACTGATTCCAGTTCTAAACTTAAAAGAGCTCTGCTGGGTGAGGGTAGCATCCTTCGGAAGTAGGCAAGCGGCACGTCTGCCTGCCTTCAGGGTCTGGAAAAACTTACTTGTTTTCCCTGATGTATTTTATGCAGTGTTTTCTTCAGAGAATGATCAAGACAGGGACGTAAGATGTTAAAAGGCCTTAAAGGGAGGCAGGTTTTAAGATAGCTTTGTACACTCCGGAACACAGTAAAGGGAGGAGATCTCTGGTTACTACTGAAGTGCAAATAGTAACTAATGCCCACGAGAATCGCTCTTTTTCTTAGAATGCAACAACCCCCCTGCTTGCACCCTGTAATAACCATACACTGCAATATTCCTCTCTTTTGGCAAAAGGGGAAATTGCGTAATTGGGGAAGCACGGCAGAGAAAGCAGCGTGCAATGTTACATGCTACAGCTGATGGGGAACTCGGTCAATAGGAAAAGCCGCCCCCGGACTGTGAAATCTTACGCTGGCAGATGGTTGATGTGTTACTGTTGTTGATGGAGATCGGGAATTCCTGGCTGTTCAGTGACTCTTGAAAAAGACAAGTCGCATCAGCAAAATTACGCTTGGATTACGGGCATCTTACTTGATTCTAAAAGACATCGTCGGCAAGTCTATTGTTTTAAAATTGTTGCTGTCTAATGACTCAACAGCAAGGACTGTTTTAATTTGCGGAATGGACTATGAAGTTCAATAATAAAAATCAGGGTGTGAAGCAGCAGGTTTTCTTTCTGTGGTTTTATTCAAAAGATTGTTGAAGCAGAATAACTGAGATGTTGTGGATGTACTCGGGGCTACAGGGGACTGATGGGTTTATGTTGTGATGGGGGAAGAGAGGCAAAATGCTCTAACAGCCACATGGGACAGTTGCGCAAAAGTCCTGAAGATGATGGAAGTTCACGTGCATTTATTTATCATTATGGATCTCTGAATGGAACCAAAACTTAAACGTGGACCTTCTTCTTCCAAAAGCTTTCCCGCCTCTGAGCCGATCCTGCATTAATTTCTGTATCAGCAACTTTCATTTCATTTCGAGTCCTAATGGTGTCAACGGGTGTAGGCAAACTCACCAGAGGACTGGGTCTCAGGGGACACTCCAGGTTCACTGACATTGGCCTCTTTTACGAAGCCCGTGTAGGCCCCAGACCCGATTCCTCCACAGCAGGCACCTACAAGAAGACTGTTGGAGCCTACATCCCACATTCTTGCCCAGTTTTGCTTTGCGTGGAAATCAGAGTGTGTGTAGCACAGAGCAGTGTGAACGAGCAAGTGCCTGCCTGGCTCTCCCCTGGCCACAGAGCAACGTGATGGAGAGGCCGATGCGCGGGAGGCACACCGGGGCCCGTAAAAATCCGCACGGGCCTTCCGCGCTTTGTCCCTGCCCCCTTACTTCACCCCTTCCAATGCCAATGGTTCTGGGTATCGAGAATTTGCTCTTCTAAAATCTCATGCCAAAGGGCGGAATTATTTACCTCAGGATTTGCAGAGACAGGCCTGCCCCCAGAGAGAACGAGGTCACGCGGGGCCCGACCTTGGACTAGCAGTAACACCACACACGCCTGACACGGCTCCTCCCGAAGAACGCCCAGCGCGCAGTTTTTCCCCCAGAGCCGGTATGCGCTTCCCCGCGCGGGGGTCTGAAGCGGGACTTCGCCGCCGGCCGCCCGCGGGCTGAGGCCTTCTACCGTTATACACGTCAGCGCGGCGCCATGACGGAGCCCCGCGCACTACACTTCCCGACGTGCCTCGCGCGGGAGCGCTCTCCCGCGGGGGCTCATCGGCCAGGGTCGCGGCTGCCCCCGCCCCCCTGCAGGGGGCTTTTCTGATTGGCGGGGGGGGGTCGGAAGCACCGTTCCTATTTCGCGGGGG